CTCTCTCTCTCTCTCTCTCTCTCTCTCTCTCTCTCTCTCTCTCTCATTTGTTGGCATGTGCTGCCCCACCCCATACTGGCCACTTTCAATGACACAACTCTCTCCCAAACCCATAGTTTGTTTCTACCCTCCATTCAGCCCACTGGTCTACTACCATAGTTTGGCCACTAAGTGGCACTGTTGTGTAAAGCAAAAGTTCCCTCTCAGGTCCTACTTTGGTGGCATCAGGCTCCATTGTGGATTTTCTCTCCACAGTGAACAATCTTTTTCTTTGCTAAATATGATTCAACCTATGTTTAAGGTCATTTGCACTGTTATGCTCTGTAGGGTGGCCGACACAAGGGGGGACTTTTGTTTCTGTATAAATTCTCTGTAATAATATTTGACAAATTTGTTATAAGATTTGTTTCCTTGCTATGACTACCCATATTTCACCTAAAAAATTACCACCTGTCTTTTTCACAGCCTGTTTTTGAAATATTTTAAGTGTTGCCTTCATATTAAAAAATTCGTCATACAATTTAATCAGTGCAGCAAATCACCATAAATAGTGAGTGATAATAGTTTACAATCAAAAGCTAACATTTTAATATTATCCATGAGTTTAGATTAAGAAATAAAAGTTTATCCATTTTCAGTACTTCCTGTGGTATTTTAAACATAAATATTTAAAATTACATCATCAATGTTTCTCTTTGTACCTTTTAGCTGAAATATACCATAAAGAGAATATTTATGTTACATGGAAGTTTAGACTTGAAGATTCTTTCATTCAAATTCAGGCTAAAATGAGAATAATACAATAGTAATTAAACCTCATATCATGTTTGGCTTAATGTAAAATATTCATCTGCATATAGTAAACTAATTATATTTATATTAAAATACTAGCCATCATTTTTCTTTTATTGAGATTTTGTATTCAACAATATTTATCCAACAAGCTTAAGTACCTGCTGCGTGGCAAGCTGTTTTTGTTGCCATGGTTTCCCACAGTGTCCCTACCTTCTTGGCTGTTACTCTTACTGTAGATGACCAGTCAAGACAGCTCAGTTAGGACTCACCCTTTCTCTGAATGCATTTGGAATCCCCTTTGCCCCACACTCTGACAGAGAGTTTGTCAGTCCAATAGGGAAGGTTCCAGCCACCATGTGATGACACTGGGGCAGAAGGAACAGGAGATGACCTGCATCTCCTGAACTAGGTAAGTCCCTGTTGCCCTCGGCTCACTCACTGCACAGTGCAACAGGGAGAGGAGGAGAGGTAAGCAGAGGCGTTCGTGCTGGCAGCGGGATGCTTCCCTCTGCTGAACAGGAACTCTATGATAAGAGGTAAAGTTCACTGTGAATAGCAGACTGTAAGGGGCCACCTACTCCATTCAGTCACACGCTAGATAGTTGTGTAGATTTTTTAAAAGAAAAATAGGAATGTCAATAGCTTTGTGATTTGGGGCAATAAATAATTTTTAGAAAATGATTAGAAAGCTTTCTTTCATATTTTATAAGGTAGATTGCAATCACAAAAAAAAATTGTTACTGCAAAATTTGTTTTTGGAAGATTTAATTTCATATAAATCCTTTATATCAGTTTAGATTTTACATTGCCATAGATATCTTGAATGATTTTATTTCTCTGTATATTAATATATACATACACTTAACACCCAGAGAGACTCCATTACAGTACTTGTTAGGTTGTTTGAAGTTTAAAAGGAGAAAGTGTCCCTGGCCAGATTGCCACTGCATCCAGCAAATCCAGTTACTTAAAGGGATAAATGCAAAGGCGGAGGTACCCTCCCTCTCTCTGCCAACCCCCTCCACTGCACACCCCCAGTAGGTTTCATATGGCTGCTTCTAGGGGAAGAAATCGAGGACGAAAATGAGAGTCACCTTAATTTAACAAGAGCTCATGTATCTGTAGATGACTCCTCTTGGGGACCATCGAGAAGAACATGATAACAGAACTATCCAAGCACATACAGTAAGCAGAAAATGGGTAGGGCGAGGAGGAGGCCTGGTCAGGTGGAACAGAGCACACCAAGAATAAGAAACAGCTTCTCCTCCTGGGTACAACAGAAGAGATAAGATTTTAAAACAAACAAGTGTCTTTAAAAGATGCTGTGTCAGCTGCTCTAGGTAATCTTGACAGTGCTGAGCGGTGGTCCTGAGGTCAGCAGAAAGCTGCGTTGTGTTCAGCTTAATTGTTATAAGACAAACAAATGTCTTGAAAATGTGATTTTTATGGAATACTTTCTACAAAAAAAAAAAACATTAAATAAATGATTACCCTGGTTGAGGTTTGTTGGTTGGTTGATTGATTTTTGGTTTGGGGGTTTGTTTTCTTTTGGTTTTCTGAACTTGACAAAAAAAAGTTATATGAAAAGAGGAATCTCAGTTGAGAAAATGCTTCCTTCAGATTGCCTGTAGGAGGGTCTGTGGTGAATGTTTTTGACTGATGACTGAGGTAAGTGGGCCCAGCCATCCCTCGGCAGGTGGTCCTGAGTTGTGTGAGAAAGGAGGCTGAGCAAGCCTTGCAGAGCAAGACAGTAAGGGCCATTTTTCTGCAGCTCTGCCTCCAGGTATCTGACCTGAGTTCCCATTCTGACTTCTCTTCTCGCTGATAGACTAAAATTAAGTCCTTCCTCCCCAAGTTGCTTTTGGTTGTGATGTTTTGATGCATTGTGATAGAAACCCTAACTAAGACAGAAATTGGTACCAAGTCCAGGTATTACGTTGACAGTCCTAACCATGTTGAACTTTATTATGGGCAGGATTTTGAGAGGACTTTGGAACTCTGGGCTGTAGACACCACCGAGCTCTCAGAGCTTAGTGGGCTGCTGTGTGGAAACTTGGAAGATAATGCTGAAAGCAATACAGAGAGGAGAGGCTTCAGAGGGAGCCCAGGACTCCAGCAGGGCCATATGTGTGATATTTTGAAGTAAGAGTCTGTGGTTCTGGTCCATTTGAGCTGAAGAATCATGATTAAGAAGAGACCATAGTCACTCAAATGAACCCTTTGGCTTTGCTCATTCAATCGATACTTGTCAGATGAGGCTGAAGAATCAGCTGTGATTAAGATGAGACAGAATTACTGAAGCAAAGTCTCTGGGAAGTGATCCTCCAAGGTCAGCAAAAAAGATGCTGTGGTCTAGAACAGGCCAAAACTTTATCTTAGCTTGCAGGTGAACTATGTAATTGTGCAGAAAAGACTCCCGGGCAATACTAGGTTTGAAGGCAAAAGGGTCATGGAGAGCAACTGAGATCTGGTGACTGTGCAGCCTCTCTTGCAGTTAGAACCCTGGGACTAAAGGAATAGTGGAGAGAAGTTGAGGTTTGGTACCTTGTCTAGAGAAAGTCCATAAAAAGAGTTGTTTTAGTTAGGGTTTTACTGCTGTGAACAGACACCATAACCAAGGCAAGTCTTATAAAAGACAACATTTAATTGGGGCTGGCTTACAGGTTTAGAAGTTCAGTCCATTATCATCAAGGCAGGGACATGGCAGCATCCAGGCAGATAGGACAAGGGTATTAAAGCTCACACCCACAGTGCCATGCCTACTCCAACAGGGCCACACCTTCTAACAGTGCTACTCCCTGAGCACAAGAGCCTAGGAGCGGTGAGTGGTGAATGTACGTGCAGCCCAGTGGCAGTGGAGACCCAGCGTATTGGGCATACCAATACTAATGGACAACTACTAAGATGTGGCGCTGCCTGCATCCTTTGGTGCCCAGAAGATCATGAGTTCCAGGCATCAGTCATTATGCTACTGGAGCTTGGTTTTGCTTTGATTTCATTGTGAATATTTCCTGGTTCTTCTCTCTTTCCTTTAGAAACATATTAGCTTCTTTTTTAATTTTACAGAAGCCCACAGCTAAAAGGCTTTCTGTATATTTTAGAGATACTTGGAACTTGAGAGAGACTTTGGATATTTTAAGGAAAGTGAATTTAAAGTGTTTGAATTTTAAAAGAAGATGGAACTTTGAAAAGTTGACATATTTTATATTATGATATTAATATCAATGTGCCATCTTAGTGACAAATGAGAAAGAAAAGATTGTAGCTTAAGAGTCTTTGTGTAGCCGGGCGGTGGTGGCGCACGCCTTTAATCCCAGCACTCTGGAGGCAGAGGCAGGCGGATTTCTGAGTTCGAGGCCAGCCTGGTCTACAGAGTGAGTTCCAGGACAGCCCGGGCTACACAGAGAAACCCTGTCTTGAAAAAACCAAAAAAAAAAAAAAGAGCGCTTGCTGCTCTTAACTGTCTGTCACTCCAGCTCCATAGGATTTGATACCCTCCTCTGGCCTTTGGGGGGGAATCTACACACACAGCATATACAGAGGTACTTAAATTAAAAAGTTTTATAAAAAAAAAAAGTCTTTGTGTGTAAATTTGGCAAAGGGTTAGTTGTGCTGGCTAGGTTTTTTTCTTTTGTCAATTTGACAAACAAGTCATCTGAGAGGATCAAACCTCAACTGAGAAAGTGCTTCCATGAGATCTGCCTGTAAGCAAACCTGTGGTGCTTTTCCTTATTACCCCTGGGGAGATTATCTTGGAGTCTATTAAGAAAACTAACTCAGCAAGACATGTTTGTTTATTTGTTTGTTTGTTTGTTTTGTTTGCTTTGGGGCAGAGTCTTACTATGTAGCTTTGGCTGGCCTCAAACTCCCCTATGTAGATCAGGTTGCCTCTGCTTCTGGAGAGCAGGAATTAAAGGTGTGAGCCACATACCAGAGCTTGGTCATTATGTTTGACCATAACTGTAGCAACCCTAAGTCAGTGACCTGTTGTTGCAGTTGTCTGTTTTCTACAC